TCAAGGTGTTGCGGCTCGATAGGGCGCTAGAAGGACACTTTCTTTGGGAAGGACCCTACGGATCTCCTGTTCAGGGTCGCCGAATTCCGTTCTGCTAGGCGCATCAATCCTACACGTCTTGGGAATTTATCATGCCACTTGCCTTTAATGAGATTGATATGAGCATGAATCTGAGAGCAGTGGTTGTTTGCCCCGAGACGCAGGTAGACTCAGAATGGATGTGCTTGAGCACGCTCATGCATAAATGCGTGTGTTTTGAGTGTACAGGTCGTGGTCTGCACGCTATTCCTTCCAAAAGCTGTCCATTGTTCTTCGACACTTACGATTGTGGGGATGTGAATGTCTTTCTTTGACAAAAGAAGCATGAAGTCGTATGAGAATCGGACTACCCCCTGACCTCAATGCGGAATAATACATTTATTATGACCGATAGAACGTCAGTATACTCCAGAAATGGAAAGGACGAAACCTGAGGGGAGGGGGGGGGGGCAAACTCTTTTACAAGGAAAAAACGAAGCACACTGCACAAGTACGTATGCTACTCCCCCTTGTCCGCACGGTAATCCACATCGCCATGTCTGATCATAGATATGGATGACGCGGCCTGTTTCACACTTGCATGGTCCCAAACATTCGAACAGTCCTTGGGTGTTTTGATGCATTTGACATCCACAAATGTCGTTCAACCCGAACTTCTAACCCAGCAGGTCATCCCCCCCCTCATTTTCCCACCCACTGAGGCCCCATTTAGACTTCGCAATGGCGCGCATCGCGCGCAACCGCTGGAATGGCGCTTCAATGCCATAGACGGTAACCAGCCATGGGCACGTATCGATTGGCTCCGACCGCTAGTGTTTCGGAAGGGTATAGGAGAATAGGAGTGTATTGGGTTAATACTCTGAATGCGGGTAGGTAGAAATTGGCGAAAATGACTTGTCTCGCACCTATATTCGTGGCATAATTAGCGAGGTGCGAAGCGACCTCATTAAGCCGAGGCACGTCGCGCTAACTTCGGCTGGCTCCAGTAAGAGGAGAAGTATTGAGCTATCCAGGCACGAATCCATTGAAAATTTTCGGTGAAGTGGGTAAAAAGGTTGCTATATATTCCAGCTATTTATTAGTTTTTATTATTATTATTATTATTATTATTATTATTATTATTATTATTATTATTTATTTTACTATTTAATATTATTGCAACTATTCAAACACAAAAACAAGTATGCAAATGGAATAAATATGTATCATATAGTTTGTTTGTACAAACTGGGACATCTTTCTGCAGAAGGACTCTGTTTGGGCGCTTGATGCTCCCTGTTGATAAAGCTCATTGTCGCATTCAACGACTTTTTCTTGGAAGACTTTACATGGATCACTGAACGAACTGAGGGTACGACTATCTTGAATTTTTTTCGGCCTATGCTTAGCTTTTCGCTTTTCTCTTCTTACAGTCTTGTGTTGTTGAAATATGGAATAGAATTCAAAAATTTAAAAGCTACGCATTATACTTTTTTTTCGTAAGCCTTAACCTTAATCTGTTGAGAGTTTTCACTCGATTTGTGCCGATTTTGGAAGCTCGTGCCCGCCTCGTAACGTGCCTCGGCTTAATGAGGTCGCTTCGCACCTCGCTAATTATGCCTCGAACCATAGGTGCGAGACAAGTCATTAACGAGGTCAAGCGTACCAATTTCTACTGACCCCTCTGTATGCAGTCTGGTACACTCCTGTTCTCCTGCATCTATCGGTGCTAACGTATTTGGGCGGGGGGAGGGGGGGGAGGGGAAGAAATGCGGACCACACGCCTCCTCATCGAACTTGTATCCCTTGTGTTTGGTCAGTTTCAGTGAGGGTTCTTTCAAGGTAACCCAGTAATTCCCTTGTAGAACATGAATTTAACACCGTCACAGGGTGGTAATCCAGTAAGGCTACGCACTTCTGACTTCTGAAAATTGCGGAGAAGCAAATGTGAAGTGAATGAGGATTTTCGTTTATACCCAAGAATAAAAGACTTTGGGTGGGTGAACCCATTTCTCTGAACAAAACACTATTCTCAAACACACACCTCGCATGTTCCGCAGAACCTGAAGGTCGCCACTTTACTGTGACAGAAGATGTTGGAACAATGTTTTCCGACAGACTTTCCATTGCGTATATGCATTTACACTTTTTGGGACTGATCAATTTCTCGGTTGAAGTATGCTAACATTCTTTATGGGTTGTTTAAAACACTATCTTGGCGAGTACGGAGTAAAAAGGCAGCGCGCCGCATGCTTCCAAATATGTTAGGACCGGTCGCAACTTGGAGCCGGTTTGGCGACTCGAAAATTCAACGCGACCAGTAAGGGAATAGTGGGCTTTTGCTTCCTCTCGTCATGACAGGTAATGAGGGGGGCCGTAGTTAATGCGCTCCAGACGCCTACCGTACCCCGAGCACGAGTCCTTTAAGGCGCGAACGTTCGCGAACTGTTCTTGGAGCATAGACGGCAGGGTTTCCTGTCGTGTGGCATTCTTCCTCTTTCGAAAGCAACAGGTGTGACCTGCCTTCGTGTTGGCACTTCTCAGAATATCTGGACTTGTTGGATTTGCAATTCATTTTAAGTTTTCCGATGTTGTAACGACTAAGCGGTCCTGCAAGCTCTTCAATTCCTTTTTCTTCGTTTTTTTTTCTTTTGGACATGTTGTTGTTTTATCACGTCTCTCTTACAACTCTTCATTCGCGCGATAAAGCCGTGCACTGCTTCTGGTTTTCCATGTTCGCAGCTGTGTTTGCTAAATTTCCTACAAATTAAGGGTACTCCTTACTCCAGCTTTGCTAGTGAGTTTCTTTCGGCAGGGAAATGGTGAAAGAGACCAAGTATTACGACGTCCTTGGCGTTCAGCCGAATGCAACAGACAGCGAGTTGAAGAAAGCATACAGAAAATTGGCACTGAAGTATCATCCGGACAAAAATCCCGAAGGAGGAGAACAGTTCAAACTTATTTCGCAGGTAATGTGCTACTTCTTGAGCTGCTTCACAGTGTTCCAAAGCTGCATTAGTATCAGCAATGGGCTAAATAACGTACAGCTTTCTCTTGCTCTCATAAGGAACAAAAGTAATTGCTGTACAGTTCTGGTGGTGTTCTAAAACATTTAGAACGAGAACAGAGTGCTGTACCATTGCCACTTTGTTCGAAATAACTGAGAGTGGATAGATAACGCGAAGTGCTACGGAAGGTTTCTTTGAGGTTGGACCAGGTTCGTCTTCTCAAATAAACACGGCTAGAATCCTTTCCGGATCCGCGCTTTAAGAGTTCACTGTCCTGAAGTACCGTGCCGCATCCCAAAAAGCGGTTGATTAATGGCGAATGCGTTATCTTTTACCATTTACGAACCAGGGCATTTCACCATTATTGAGCAAATCTTGTTTTTCTAACATAGTCATCAATAATTCGACGTCTGGCTCAGCAAATGCTACCTCATCACCCCCTATACCTGAAGGCCTAAATTCAGATCCGGGGAGTTAGATGGTCCTCAATCAGGAAAGAAGCGATTTTAGTAAAGAGAAGGAAGATTGTTGTTTCGGCTCTGTAGATTGTATCGCAATCCTGCTAAATGGATAAAATTAGGCCTAAATTGTTCCTGAATCAGACATATTAGCGTATTAGCGCAAATAATCAGAAAAGCTTTATATAGTGTTTGACGGAATCAAGGGCTTACGAAATTTCTCGCCACCCTGTAAATACAGTACCCTTACCTTCTAGGTTTTCACTTCTTGTTTCTTTTCCCTATCTCTTTCTTTTCAAGACACACGTTTTTAAGGACCGCCATCTGCTCACTTGCCCCCTAAATATCAGTTCCAGTAACGCCGGTGCGTTCATGAAAAAATCCTTCGTCATAAGGTTTTTTTACAAATGAGACGCTGAGATATAATGGGGCTCCATATCGCAAGCTAAAATTAGTCCGCCCCTCCCCTCATGAAAGTCTGAAATCATGCCTCCCCCTTCCATAGAAATCACCTTCTCAATATTCCATTTGGTCTGTTTTCTGTCAATAAATATACCTTTTATACTACTGAATGATGAATAAAGTGCCGGAAAAAACTGGCGGTTCCTTTTCAAGAAATTGCTGGCGGAATCAGTCTTGTTATTCAATACAGTGGTGGTCCTCGTTGACCAGAACATCTGTTTCTATTGTTTCAGGCCTACGAAGTTCTTTCCGATGAGAAGAAACGGCAATTGTACGACCAAGGCGGAGAAGAGGCTCTTCAAGGCGGTGGTGCCGGTGCAGAATTCCATAATCCGTTCGATGTGTTCGACATGTTCTTCGGAGGAGGTATGCAATATCTAATGGTTACCCCAGGATCCATAAAATTTTAGAGCGCTGGTTGTCTTTGAAGAGGTGAGGGGGTGATCTTAAGTTTCCATCCCTGTAGATCCACGAAATGGTACACAGCGGCTTAAAGCTTCTGTGTGAAACTAAGACATCAGCGGCCAATGAAGCACCTCACCACTTCGTAACATTGTAGGGAGTATGTATGTCCCACCAAATTTCTTAGTAAAATTCCCTAAAAAATCCTTACAATTCCTAGCTTTACAAAAATTTGCGAATGCCATCTCGAAGCAACTGAAGAATTTTAGCTAACCATTAGAACCGTTTTCTCTCACCTTATCCCTTTATTAATTTGATCTGAAGAACCATTTTTGATGTAGTGGACGATCTAAATTCTAGGTAAACGACAGCGCGAGCGTGTAGACGACCGACTGTTCATCAGATGAAAGTGTCCTTGGAGCAACTGCTACAACGGTTTTTAAAAATAAATAAAGGTTGTTCGTAAAGCTCATAGTTTTGATAGAGGCTCCGGAAAATTTTTCAAACATTGCTTGTCATAGTTTTACAATTGCAAACTTTGAACTCTTGTTCTTTGACTTGCAGGTTACTAGGACGGTCATTTGTACGGACTGCAAAGGGCTCGGTGGAGTTGCTGGTTCCGTGTTAAATGTAGCGAGTGCAAAGAAGGGGCATGATAATCAGGTGAGCCAAGATCTTTTCTCTTTCCAAGTAACATGCATTACTAATTCGCTTCTAATCTCTGTTTGGTCTATAGAGTAATGCAGTTGGCTCCCGGAATGATTCAACAAGTTCAGTCCCCATGCAGTAACTGCAAGGGGGCCGGTGAGATGATTCCAGCCAAGGATCGTTGCAAGGGTTGTCAAGGACAGAAGAAGGTTCGTAGCTTCCGTGTCTTCTCTATTTCTGGATCGGTTAGATGTGTTACATGCCGCATGACATGAGGTGCATTAGGAAAGATACCAGAGTGCCATTGTTAAACATCCCAGAAATTGACCTGATTGCAGTATGTCAAAGTCCGTAGCCAAGGGTAAATAAATACACCGTTTGTGTCTTTTTGGTGTTCTGGCGATTTACAAAAGCCATCCCTGCGGAATACAAACTGGTGCAGCGCAAAGTAGGACATCAACTCGACATGGGCCTAAGTCGTGAATATTTTCTTGCCTTATTGAGGAGTTAGTTCGGAAAACAATAGGAACCGGCATTCTATGGGCTTTAAGTGTGTGGAGGTCGAAACATACAGCTGCATCGCATGAGTCCAGCTTTGCTAATTCTTGTAATGGTGGTCGGTACTGCCACGTTTATAGCAGACTGTGGATGAATTCTTATTTCCAATCGACTACTGGCACCTCGCCCGTGGAAGCATCTCCTCCTTCTAGTAGTTTTCCAATTCGCAGCTCAAGTTCGACCTCCAGACGTCAACCATCTTCAAGACTGTTGTATCGTGAAGAATGCCAGGAACTAGGGACATTGTCCTCTTCCGTTCTGACCCCGCCAGCTTTCGTGCTCGAGCTGGAGTGGTGGAAGAGGATGCGAGATGGCGCAGGGCTGACGGTCTGCGGCAAAACTGTATAATTCAAGACAAAAAAAAGTGAAAAAGAAGTGGCTATCATTAGAAGTAGTTTTACTTTGAGTATTATTGTTTATTCTGTCGGCCAGGTGTTTGAAATTGAAGACGAGTTCTTTGAGTTAAAAGAAAAGTGACACAACTTTCCTCCCAACCTGGCCAACCTGGTAGTAGTGAGTCATCAAATTCCATTGCAAACTTAAAAAAAATCAGACTGCACTCCTCCGCTTTGATTCACATTATCCTCTTGAGTATTTTAGCAGACATCAGACTTCGCGATGACGCGCTGTAACGCGCTTCGCGGAGACTTCCTTAAAGATTTGCATGATCGGATTTCACAGCATTGGCCACTTTGTACTGGATGTTTCAGAGAATTATGATGATTTCTTAATATGGTGCTGTCCCGGAGCTTCATTGAAATCTGAACGTCAAACACGTAAAGAGGCGCCGAAAATTTATTTCAAAAACTCAAAAGAAT